CTGAAAAACTAACTGAAACAATTAACAACTTTCACAAAGTAGCAGGCTATAAAATAAACCCACATAAATGGTCAGCATTTCTATATATTACACAAAAAAAAAACCCAGCAGGAAGAGATAGAAAAAGAAATTCCATTTAAGGTAACTGCAGACAAAAAAAAAATACTTGTGAGTCTGCCTGCTAAGACAAACCTGGGAACTATGTTATTACAAAAACACTTTTCAGGCAAATAAAAACAGAACTAAACAAGTATTAATTGCTCAGGGGTAGACCAAACCAATATAATAAAAAAGACAATTTTTCCTAAATGAACTTACCTATTTAGTGTCATACCAAACTACCAAAGAATTATTTTATAGAGCAAAAAAAAATAATAACAAAATTTGTGTCCAAGCTGTTTTTCTCTGAGGCTTCGCTTATAAAGTTTTTGATGTCATTCTTTTCTTCTGGGTTTGTGCCTTGAGCATTTTAATAAACCTAATAGCTTTTTAAAAAAAATATTGCTTATTCTTCCAGCCTACCTCCTGATTTTAGACTTTATGATAAAGCCATGCTCTGGGCACTTCTAGAATAAATCTCTAGGCTGGTTTTGCTATTGCTCTCCCGGTTGTATTGAGTGCTAAGTTCTTGCAGGATCACAGGGACAACTTAGGCTGGACACCTGTAAACTTTCAGTACTCACAAAGTGGTCTGACCCAGGGCAAAATTTGAGCACTGCTCTGCACTGCCTCCCCTTCCTGCTCCCCTCCTCTTCTCCCAGCTGTGCCAGTTCCTGATGTGGGTCTGAGCAAAAAGCCTGTGGACTTACCTCCTTTGGAGTTTTAGTAGACTCCTGCTGGGCTCAGCCACTATCAGCCAGCTGGAAAGCTGTACTGGTTCTGAGTCACAGAACTGCAGCCTCCGCATTGGTCTGAGATCCCTGCCCTGGTTATTCCCCTGTAGTTTGACACTAGGTTAGAGCTGAGCCCCTACTCTGCAGCTGAGCTCCAAGCCACACAGCTGCTGCTTGCTTCTGAACTTGCTCTTGGCTATATACACAGCCTACAGCTGATGAGGTCTAGAGGTTTAGGGGTTCTGGGACCCCGAGATCACAACACATGGGTCCTGTCCAAAGAATTCAACCCAAGCCTTTTTTCAGCCAAAGGCAAAGTTTATTAAAGATCCACCATATTGGCCAGACTCTTAAGGAATCTGAGCACCTGTGAGCTATTGGCTAGGTTGTAAAAATCTGAGCATTGGCTAGATTATAAGAATCTGAGCCCCTTAAATAGAGACAAGATGGACCTTATGTACAGAAAGACTGTGTGAGGGATCTAGGAGTAGCCAAGTAGTTTGGGGTGACTAGAGGAGGGATCTAAGGAGGATCTAGATGGGCGTGGCCAATAACCTGGAGTGAACAGAACCACCTTGTGGTCAAGGGAGAATGGAGTCTAGCTAGGATTAAGGGTGGGAAATGGCCAGGGGCCATAGGGAGGTAAGACAATGGAGGGCTAGGCTAGGTTAAGGGTAACAGAGAATTGGGAGATTGGGTGTAGCCACAATGAAAGTCCAGTAGATAGGAGTATAGACTCAGGCTAAAATCAGAGATTTGGCCCTGTGGGAAAGTCAGGGGTTTTTCCTTTTTGGGATCTAGATCCCATCCTCATGCTCCTTACCCTGGAAAGCCAGGGGGTTTCCATCTTTAGTGACCTGGGACTAGGTAGTGATCAACACAGCTTCCTATTGGCACCTGTTCCTGAATGCTATAAAAGTTTATGCCTCTCCTACTGGATTTTGGACCTCACATTTTCCTACCACACAGCCTTTCCCTGTGCTGGAATCTTCCACAAAGAGCTTTCCATCCCCAATGTCCACAGACCTTTGTCTCTTTAGGCTCACTTGGGCCAGAAAAATGACTTACTGTAATTTTTTCTTGAATTGTTTAATCAGGATTTGGTCTAGTGTTTTCTAGATTTGTCTGGAGGAGTTTTGTTGGGGGAAGCTCAAAGTCCTTTTCCCTGCTACTCAAATTATTGGCTCAATGGGCATTTTAGAATGTATTTCCCAGGAAAAGAGAAAATCCAAGAAAAGGTCAGTTCCCCCCCTCCCCCACTTCCCCTTCTTGATGTCCATCTATTCAAAGACATTTTGATATAATTTGCTGCTCTGGTATGCAAATGTTTTCAGTAAACTGAATTTTTGCCTCAACCACAAAAAAGTCAGGGGCAACATGTAAATATAATTGTAACATTAAATATTTTGGAGTCAGTCTCCAAGTATAAGTTTAGGGAGAGAAACACCAGATGTCAGGAATTTTCCTAATGGGGGCTTGTAGTGATTGTTACAACTAAAAAAAATGTACTTATTTAATCTAAAATAAACTTCCTAAAGCTGAAAAGGGAGGAAACCAAATGGTTCTTAGGGGCCATCTTATTGCCACCATGCTTATGTAACTTGGGCTGGTCTGGGCATGCCCAATTCAGTTACTGTGGAGCCTGGGGACACCCTTGAGGGGTCTTTTCCTACATGTCCAGTTTGCCTAACATGGGGCCTGCATCCCCTACCTACCCTATGGGTGTGAGTAACCTCCTTCTGTTGGTTGCCTTCATGTTATCCCCAGTTGGGAATTCTCAGACCAGCCCTGGTTACACTTAAAACAACTCAATTCTTACAAGAGGGTGTTAGAGCCCAATTTAGATAATTCATTTGAGAGGTGGTGATGGGCTGAGCTACCTGGTTGTAGTTTTGGTGTGAATGGAGAGAAGGGGACAGATGTTGATGGGGTGCTTGGATGCTTGTGTTTGGGTGCTTGTGCTTGGACCCCAATTTCTCCCTAGCCTCAGAAACACTATCCCTGACAGTTTCTCCCCAGCCCAAGGACACTGTGCCTAGCAATTACTCATGAGTGGGCCCCAGCAAGACCCTTATCTCTTTCCCTGGTGCAGTTACAAGCAGCACCTGAAGGAATTATTAGTTTAAACTGGCTTTGCACTGGGCCATAAAGATATTCTTACCCACTGGACTATCTATACTACTGCCCTACCTCATTATCTGTATTCTAGACTTAAGAAATATGTATACTCGCTACATCTATCATATCAAACAAGACATTGACTGGTGGCAGACTGGACAACTCTCAGTTACCCCTGAACTCTAGTTAATTTAGTGACATAACAGGCCTAAAACCACACCTCCATCTGGATCTCCTTCTGGGCTTTTCCTAGTGAACTCTGGGTAAAAGCCTGTGCAGTAGGTACAAGAAGTGCATGTTCTTTTAAGAACTGACCACTCCTTAATCCCACCCTGAATCACCTTGTTAACATATTTGGCACATGTTTTATTGTATTTTATCCTATATAAACTTTAACTGTACCCATCTAAGATCACAGGTTCTTTAAGAATCCTTGCCCACTGAAAAGCGTAACAACAAACTTTTTGCCAACTTGACTAAAAGAGTGGTTGAGTCTGTGAATTCACTCCAGACAACCCCGTCGTGTACTTCAGTCTTTGAGGGGTCACAACCTCTCAGACCACAACAATGTGAGGCATGTTGAGGAGGTAAAAATTACAAGACTTGGCAACTGTCTTGGATTTGAGGAATAAGAGTGGAAGATGTCTCTCCCAGGAACCTACAATAATGATGGTGCCCTCAGCAGAAGTAGGGAAGTGTCTGGCACATTTATTGTTTAGTCATTTTTCTGACCCATTTGGAGGTTCCTTGGAAAGATACTGGAGTGGTTTGCCACTTCCTTTTCCAGCTCATTTGACAGATGGGGAAACTGAAGAAAACAGGGTTAAATGACTTGCCCAGGGTCACACAGCTAAGTGGGTGAGGCCAGATTTGAACTGTATTAGTCTTCCTGAGTCCAGACCGGGTATTCTACTGCGCCACCTAGCTGCCAGTCTGGCACATAGTTGGCACTTAATAAATTGTTGTTTGTCCTTCCTTCTTGAAGATGACCATGACATCAGGGAGGTGATGCCATGACGTGCAAGTGACTTGGATTTAAATGAGGGAGGGCTGAGCAAAGTTACCAGCCTCACTTTCTCCTACTGTGCCATTTGGGTCCAGTGGCCAGATACAGATCTGGAGGACGACAAATGGCTCTGGATGAAATAGGAGACCATGCAGGCCTTTTGAAGCTGAAGTCTTTAACTGTTCTCTTTTTGACTGAGGCAATGCCCATTCAGTGACTCAGGCTAGGTGAGAAATGAGGCAGAGAACGCCCTCTTTTACCTACTTAAAAAAACCCAAAAAACCAAAAACAACAACAACAAAAACCTAAACAATCTAGGAGGGAAGACCCTCAGGGTTTCTGGCCAGGGAATGCAAAACTTAATATAAGCTTGTTAAATGAATGGAGGAGGAATGAGTTTAGGGGTAAAGATAATGAGTTCAAATTTCACACATTAAGTTAGAGATGTTTACGGTGCATGTTGCTAGAGTTTGGGAGACTGGAGCTCAGGAGTGAGATGTGGCTGGATAGGTGAATTTGGGGATAACCCGCATAGAGACAATGGTGGAATCCATAAGAGTTGATGAGATCACAGGATTTACACCCAGGGATGGGGCCTTAGGACCCTTCTGGTGTTCCTTCTGCCCTTGAGCCTTGAAGTGATGACGTCACCACACTCCAGTTCTGGAGTAGTCGCACTAGTGCCATTGTAGAGAACAGGTGAAAGAGAGATTTGTCTAGCGGTTGAGGGTCTCTTTCGTAACCTGCCATGGCTCGGGAATAGTCTTCCCTCCCATGAGCACTAGAAAACAAAAAAGTCCCTCTCGCAGGCACCTCCATAGACAGCTGCATGAGGAGGGCGGTGCGAGAAGGGTCCTGGGTAGTCCCTAAGACGCCCTTGACTGGTTCAGCCAGCACGCGGGCTCCACCTACCTTGCTAGCGGATGCAGAGGCTAGACGAATTGGCTCCGGGCTCCGTGACAAGCACTCCTCGGCTCCAATGAGTGGCGGGAGGGCAAAGGTTATGACCAATCAGAAGAGAGGTAGCGGTAGTGGGGGGAGAGGGGTGGGGTGGTAGGTTGCAGGGACGAGAGCGTGTGGTGGCTACTGAAGAGGGGTCGGGATCTCCGCAGCGGCCTGGCCAGACTACCCCCAGGAGAACCTGCCAGTGCCCGACCTCCATTTAGGCCCCTTCTGGCCAGCTGTGCACGGCGGCCCGCAGCTGTTGGTCCTGGCTCCTGCGGCTGCTGCGGAGAAGGCCGGAGGCCTCTGCGCGCAGGGGCGGGGCCGAGTTGGGCCTGTGGCGCCGGGAACCGAGACTCAGAGGTCGGGGGGGCCCAGCGAGGGGAGCCCAGGTCTACGGGCGCTAACGGACTGGTTACTCAGGGCCCAGTCTAACCCGTCCCGTGGGTCCAGCCTCCACCCGAGCAGCCCTCTCTTCTTTGGGACACCCCCGCCACCACCTGTCTGACCAGTCCGGGCATCCAGTTCGAGGTCGCTCTGCCCGTCGGCTGGGGCGGTTTCCAGGGGCGAGAAGTCGCGCTCGTCCCTCAGGCCTGGGCTGCATGAAGCTTCCCGGTCACCCACCTGTGCGCGCCCTCCCGCTCACTGCCTTCCTCGGGGCCCGCCTTCCTCCTTTCTTTCTTCCATCTCTTCCTGCCCCGCACACCCACGGGGTTTCTTAGCAGAGATCCTGGTATCTTCTCGGCTACCCTTAAATTGACTCCCTGATTTCCCAAGACGCTTCCACCCTTGTAGGGGATGCTGAGAAGTTCATCCGTTCTTCTGTAGCAGAGAGCTGGCCAACCATTTTGATACCCTTAACCCCTGAAACAGTCTGCCAAGTTACCTGTTTGTTCGCGGGATCTTCCCATTCCTCCTCGTTTGTGATTTGGGTGGGTTGCTTTGGGCCCAATTGTATAGAGAAAGAATAGGTTTTTCCCCCCCAGAAACTAAAATTCCAATCACTATATTTGTAAATCAAATGCTGAAACTGAGGGGTAACCCTGGAATTGATGGTTTGAGAAAGAGGCTCCTGGTGAGTCCCAGTATTGTAAGTGACTTGGTTTGACTAATCCTTTCCGTGGGAGGGAGTCGAGGGGGACAGACTGGTCGAACCGACTTAGCAGGAATGTTCCACTCACTGCAGAGGAGGTCGCCCTCCAGTGTTTATTCTTACTGTGTGAGCTCTGCACGGTTTGCCAGCCTTGCAGATGGGAGTCTGGGCTGGGGGCATCAGGTGAGCTCCCTGAAGGGCAGGGTACAGCAGGTTCTGAGTTGGTTCCAGAAGGAGATTGAAAGAGGCCCTAAGCAGAATAAGAGCCTGCTCTCGCTTTTAGCTAACCAGTGTAGCTATGTTACCAGCTTGAGGGTTCGCCGTGCCCAGCAGATCGGCCAGCTCTACAGCAACATCTACTCGGAGAGGACGCGCTGGAGCCTCTTCAGTAGACTTTGGCGCAAGTTTCACAGCCACCACGGGAATGCGTGTAAACTGATGGCTGCTTTAACTGGAATCTTTGTGTGGGAAGAGGAGAGGATCAAAGAAGAGGAGCTACAGAGGTGAGGTCCTTGGTTCCTGATTTGAAATTTTAGTTTTTGATGGTTGTCGAATGGAACATTGGTGGGTCTGTTGCTTTATAGTTGGTACTTTACCAGTGTGCTAATCTCTGTAGCAATGAACACAGTTGGCAAAAATTTCCCCCCCACCCCCATTTTTAAGTTCATTTTTGTAAGTTAGCAATAGGAGGCATGTTTATCCAGCGGGGAGAATTTATGTGGGGAGCTGGAATGCAAAGACTAGTGAAATAAAATTTCTTTTTTGTGCTAGAAACATTCATGCCATTGTTAAGTCTTCAATACAATCTACACTTCAAAACAGGTTTAATTAAAACTTCCAATCTAAGGGCAGGTCTGCAGTGAAGGAAAAAACAAAAAAAAAACTTCAGGATAAATACCTGTCAGAAAGCGGTACTGTAGCTTTCTATTTTTATGGAAAAAATTTAAGAGTCAGAATAGGAATTTCCTTCCAGTGTGAATTAGCAGCAAATTGATGAGCTTTCAAGCTTCAAAAATCAAAATCAACTCACACTTGTGCTAAGTAAAGTAGAACTTCATGATTGTTGAACATCATCAGTGTTAGACTCCAGTACTATGTCTCCCTTATGATTAGTTTTCGTAGGAGTTCTGAAGAAATCCTTGTTTGGGCCCTCTTTTCACTTTGTGCCTCACTGTGAGATTTGTTTTATGATTCTAGGGATACGAAAAAGTGCATCAACCTCCCCATAGTTTCCTTCATTTGTTTGCTGATTCTTGAAATTCCAGTAACAGGGATAAATTTTTATTTCTACAGTTAAGGATAAGGCTTAAAATACAGATACTTCTTCCAGAAGTGACTAAATATATGTATCTGAAGTGGCAACCATTAGCCGTCTTGGCAGAGATCTGGCCATTTGGTGACCAGAATAAGTATTTTATCAACCCCTCCCCTTTGGACCTCGTGAAACCATGTTTTGGTTACACTTTGGGCCCCAATCCATTTTTACTGGCTTTGGGATTTGTTTCTCAAAACAAAGGCTGCCCAGAAAACTTTTTTAAAATGCCTGAACTAAAATCTGGAAGAATTGCTTTTTCTTATGAATGTTGTTCTTATAAAATCACGTTAAATTTCACACACTCAAAATTTGGTCTTCATGCTACAGCCTTCTAGATTTAAGAACATAAGACAAAAAAATTTATTGTTAGCTTGATAAAGTAATAAATGTGAGTGAGATTTTTTTTCTTGAAGAGTTTGGTTGTACAGTGGTATTCTAGGTCTCTGTAATTGGTAACCTATACTTTTGATGTTTTGTTAAGTAAAATACTCTGAAGACAGATTAACTTTCTTTGCTTGGTGTTGAATATTATTCACACTTAATACATACTTGTTGATTGATTCCATCTGCTTTGAAATAAACATTTACAGGGATTATCATAGCCAGCTTACTAGGGATTTTTATTTCCCAGAATGTTTTTGGGTTAACTTAAATAATGAAGTACTGATTCTTTGGTAAGGAAGTACTGCATATACAACTATGTGTACTTCCCACAGAATTTTTATTCTTAGAGGGCAGTGTACTTGCTGCTAATGGAATAAAACCATTCTTTTTATGTGGTTCCTAAATCACAGCAGGTATTTTAAATTGAATATACAGGTTAAGCTGTCTTGTGTTATCATCACTGTTCTTTGTTTTCTACTCAGAATGAAGGCTCCCCCCCCCCATTCCTGTAATAGAAGAACGTTGGCACTTTCTGTTCTAAGTACTTACCTCCAGAGAGCTTAAAGGACTTTACTAACACTATCTCATTAATGTTAGCAGCATCAAGAGAACCTGAGAGAGGAAGGAACTTGTACAAGGTCACTTTGTGAGTCATTGCTGGGGCCAAAAGTTTATGGCGCATGTCCCTTAACTCTTAGCCTGGAGCTTTTATCCACTAAGCCACTTTGTATTTTTTATAAATTTTGATTATTTTTGTTGTTGTCTAGGCTTTCAAAATAGTGACCTAAAATAGTGACCTTTGAGTCTAGTGCCCTTTCTTAAGGGAAAATAAAACGTTTTTACTTATCTCCTTGTAACTTTGAAAAAATAAAAAAACAAAACCCCAGCAATAGGAGAGGAAGGAAATTAACAATATACACTGTGCTGAACAGACATGGGAAAAAACTATGAATGTTTCATTAGGCTCTTGCTTTAATTCATACCAGAAACAAATATATTTATAGATTGTAGGTTTAGTAGAGAATATTGTCTTTTTTTTTACCCATTTCTAAACCCAGAAAGAGAGTATTGTCTTTTTTTTTTAACCCATTTCTAAATCCAGAAAAGTGAGTACTTGAATATTTCAGTATGATATTTATTAGAGTGCCCTTAATTAAATGAAATCCTTTTGGCTTACTGGTGAGGCAGAAAGTGACTTTCTTCTGTCATTGAGATTAAAGCTTCTTTTGTGTAAGAGGCTCCTGTGTTCATTAAGGCCACCAGTTCAGGTTATATTTCTGATGGCTTTGTTTCATATTATCAAAACTAGGTGAAAGTTGACCTGCGATTTTTTTAGTTTTTTCCTCCATTCTACTGCAGAGCAACTAAATGAATTGGCCCATAATTAATAGTGAAATCTTTAGTATCTCAAGGTAGTGCCTGAAAATTACCAACTGTGATGATAGTTTGGAAGGCTGAGGTGGAAATTATGTGAAACCAAGTTAATAAGTCTTCTAAGGACAAAATCACAATCTCAGAGTTGGGAGGGCATCTTAAAGACCATCCTGAACAAACTATGCTTGGAAAAGAACTTCTTCAACAAAATCCTTTAGAAATAGGCTTCCAGTCTTCAGCTGAAGGCTCTGATGAGGAGGAATCTACTACGAATGAGTGAAAAAGTACTTAGTGTTTTCTACAGGCAAAACGCTGGGAATACAACTAGAAAACGCTGCTTTCGGCTCTCGAGGAGCTCACGTTCTAATGGTGGGGAGATGATAGAGAAGTTTCAGCTGCAATTCACATGGAAGGACCTCTTCCTTATGGTGCATTGGCCGAACAAATGTCAATGAATTTTCTTTAATGACATTTTTATTGATGATCGTATCGTTTTCTTTTTCTTTTGGGTTAAGCAATGGGATTAAGTGACTTGCCCAGGGTCACACAAGCTAGTAAGTGTTATTTATGTATCTCAGGCTAGATTTGAACTGAGGTCCTCCTGAATCCAGGGCCACTGTTCTTTCCACTGAGCCACCTGGCTGCCGCCAATCGTATCCTTTTCTGATGTTGAACTTGACAGTACTAAGGACTTTGGTGGCAAGATTTTCCAAATCTTTTGTATTTGTGGCTGCTTAGGAGGCAGGAACTCTAGTACCCACAGAAGCTCTTGTCAGGTCACATTTCTACAATAATTGTATTCCACTGATGCCCAAGGCAACCCATTCCATTCTTAGATAGTTCTGTTAGGAAGTTTTTGCTTTTATCAGCTTAAATTTGTCTCTGTAACCCCTATCTGTCTCTCTTAGTTGTACTATTGCACTCTGGGGCCAAGCTGAGCAAATTTCAAATATTTAAGACCAGTTAGTCATAATACTTTTTGCCTGGTTACTGTCCCTTGGATACAGTACAATGATTCTCAAACTTATTGGCCTCTTTTGCACTCTTAAAAACTGAGGACCCCTAAAGAACATTTGTTTATATTATGGGTTGTACTAATTAATGTCTAGAAATTAAAACTAGCTATTTATTAATTTTAAATAACAAAAACATTTCATGTTAACATAAGTAACATGTTTTTATGAGCAATAACTTTTCCAGAAACTAATTTAACTAGAAAATATTGTTTTACATATTTTTTTGCAAATCTCTTTAATGTCTGGCTTAATAGAATTATAACATAGCATTTATGTTATGTTATCTCATTTGATCCTCACAACAGTACTGAAAAGTAGGTCTGTTATTATCCACATTTTACAGATGAAGAAATTGAGACAGATTTAAGTGACTGGCCCAGAGTCATACAATTTACTACATGTTTGAAGCTGGATTTGAACTCAGGTCTTCCTGGCTCCATCTCCAGCATTCTGTCCACTGTATTACATAGCTTCCTAATAGAAGACTTTTGGATTCTCATATCTGCTTTTGCGTTTAATCTGTTGTTGTGCTGTTTTGTTGTAAATATGTGAAGAAAATCCAGCTTCAGATGTGTCCTTCAAAAAAGGAGGGACATTTTAATAGGCAGATAATGTCTTAGTAGTGTTATCAACATAGTTTTGACCCCACAGATTCTCTGAAAAGGTCTTGGAGACCCTCATACTTTGAAAACCAGATTATACTTGGAGAACTGATGTCCTACATCTTATCAATGTGTTTGTTCTTAATATGGTGCCCAAAATTAAACAGTACTCCAGATTGTGGTCTAATCAGGGCAAAATACAGCAGGATTGTCACCTCTCTACTTCTGGATACTATGACATTTGATTGAAGCCTAAAATCAGATTATTTTTCTTAGCTATTGTTGTATACTTTTGATTGACATTGAACTTTCAATCCACCAAAAATCCTAGATCATTAAAAATTATTGAAATCTTTTGTTTCCATATTGCTTTCATTTTCAAATATATCCTTCACCTTCTACTCAATGAGCCATCCTTTTTAACCAAAAAAAAAAGGAAAAAAACCAGTTCAATAAAATTAAACTTATCAACTGAATATAATGGTATTCTGCATCTTAGCCTTCCACTTCAATGAAGGCAAGGAGATGCATCCCAGATAATTTTCAGAAAGCACTGTTGTCTACTTGTGTTTCCAAAGCTCATGTTATGCTTATAAAATTGCTGTTTTGAACCTAAGTGATAATTGTGCTGTCTGTGTCACTAATCAAAAATGTTAACTCAGCATAAGCATAAGACCAAGCACAGATTTCTGGGGCACTGTATTAGAGACCTTCTTGCAACTTGACTTTGAAACATTACTGCTACTCTTAGAGATTTGCTAAGCAGTCGGTTCCTAATCCACTGAGCTGTATTTTTGTCTAGCCAGTATATG